GTGTGTGTGTGTGTGTGTGTGTGCATCCTTTTGGTCTCTCTCTCTCTCTCTCTCTCTCTCTCTCTCTCTCTCTCTCTCTCTCTCTCTCTCTCTCTAACGGGCAACACAGCATCACCTGGGTCAAAAAGGTAAAAGCAAGTAAAGATGCCTGATAATTGAAGTATTGATACTCACATATTTGAAGTACTGATACTCACATAATTGAAGTAGTGATACTCCAATTGAAGTATTGGTGTGTGTGTGTGTGTGTGTGTGTGTGTGTGTGTGTGTGTGTGTGTGTGTGTGAGAGAGAGAGAGAGAGAGAGAGAGAGACATGACAGTTTCAAGGCACACCTCGAATACAAGGTACGTACCTTGTATTGGAGCGTACCTTCTATTCGAAAACTTGACAGAGATTTCTTTGAACCCTTTTTTCCGAGGTAATTTGAATACAAGGTACATACCTTGTTTTTGGGTTAAGACGGTAGATCCGTTGCTCCTTGTTATCAATCCCTCTGTCATTTGTCTCTCTCTTCTTGAACACCCCCTCGCTCCCCTTCCCCACTACCACCTCCTCCTTCCGATTGCACCATCCATTCTTCAACATGCCGAGTCTCTGTCTTATGTCCACTACTTGTTCCCCTCAAAGTATCCAACAACACTTCATCTCATCCATTTCCTTGCAGCTTTTTGATGACCTGCGCCTTTTCTTTTTCTTTTTCTTTTTAACAAACACCTCCTCCCGGAGCGGTGTTAGCGGTGCTGATGATTGTGCTAAACTTTGAGAGCATCTGTGTTAGATTGTGTCTGTACTCTGCAAAAATAAAAAAAATAAAAAAAAATAGAAAACTGTACCCTGACATTCTGACTCACAACAGCAGCCATTATTTGTAATCGCTGTTGTTTTTTGTAACCCACCCCCCCTCCCCCTCCACCTCCCCCCTCCCTCCCACCCTTTTCCCCCGACTCCCTCCCCCGGACTTCTTTTGCAATCACCATAGTTGTTGTTGTCATTCACTGTGAACAGTGCGAAGTTAGGTGATACATTTAACCATACTTTAGGCGTGCTGTCGTTCTTACTATACTAAGTAAAAAACTGTGGAATCTATATTGGCCTTCCTACTAAAGTAGGTAAACTTCTTTGAAGCATTTACCTTTTTATAGGTATATGCGGTCCTTTTTCCTATGCTAGGTAAACTCTGGAATCTATACTGCCCTTCTTACTAAACTAGGTAAGCTTCTTTGCGAAGGTAGTCTGCTTGCCGTGATGCTGACTGTTCCCAGGTCTCTGCTATTTGCTTGCTTGCTTGCTTGCCAGTTCCAGGCCTCTGTTCCTGACTGTTCCCAGGTCTCTGCTATTTGCTTGCCTGCTTGCCAGTTCCAGACCTCTGTTTCAGACCTCAGTTCCAGACCTCAGTTCCAGACCTCTGTTCCAGACCTCTGTGGCCAGTTCCATACCTCTGAGGCCAGTTCCAGACCTCTGTGGCCAGTTCCAGACCTCTGTAGCCAGTTCCAGACTTCTGTGGCCAGTTCCAGACCTCTGTGGCCAGTTCCAGACCTCT